CCGCCCCCCCGCTCTCCGAGGAGCGGCCCCTACGCGTCCTCGGGGAGCCGAGTGATGCTGCAGCTCTGCTCGCTCTCGGGGAGCTGGGAAGCAGGCAGGCTTGGTGCATGCACGATTCGCTTCTGCCCAAAACAGACGCCACACGAGCTGCTCCTTAAAATCCACTGGCTCCAGGGGAGCTCTGCACTGATGCAGGGAGCCGAGGGGCCAAACGCACGGACACAGCCCGGCCCCATGCCGGGGGCTGCCCCGAGTGGTTCAAAGGCAGGGGGGCTTGCATTTGTCACTTAAGGAGCTCGGCCCCGCTGAAACCGAGACCTTCCCAGAGCCTTAATCCCATCCCCGATGCCCACCAGGCTCCATCCACAGGTGGGGAACCGAGAGGAGGTTTGTCAGAAGCTCGTTAAGAGCATTGCTAGTTCCTGAGGGAAGCATCTCCCGGCTTCAGGGCAGGCTGGACAGTGGATCCCAGGGCTAAACCTCAAAGGATCCAAATCCTTCGCTATTGATCCCCCTTGTGCTCCTGCTGCTTATGGGAGAACAGGCTGTGGAGGCATTAATGACTGAAGCCACAAGCGTTTCTGGGGTAGGACATCAGAGATTTCAGAGCTCACGGGGGTACCAACTGAGCCCCCATGGGAATGTTCAGGTCCACTTTGGGGACTCAGTCTGGGTCCCCAGCAGAGACTCACCTGACAAACTGATCTCTGCCTCCCACAGCAAACTGGTAGGTGTTGGCTGGGTTCACGTAGATGGTGTACAGACCCACTTTCTTCTCCTTTTCCTTTGTCACAACCAGTTTCCTTTAAGAGACAAGGAAAAATAATAACAAAAAAAAAAATCCTCCTCGAATTCAAAACAGGGTCCAGATGGGAAAAGCAGGAGCTGCGCGAGTCTCTTACTCACTCCCAGAAAAAAAAAACACCACCACCAAAAAAAAAAAAACCCGCCACCCAACCATTTCAGCCTCCCAGCTGAACCGAGCACATGCTCTGTCTGCAACTCAAGGGGCGCAAAGTGAAATCATTCCCTGGCGTTTTCCTCCGAAACGTCTGAAGGGTTTCAGGGCCCGAACTTGAGCCCGATGGAGCCAGGCAGGCAGCAGCGAGGGCAGAATCGGATTAACTCCAGAGCAGAAACGCTCTGCTGTTATTTCTCCCCACCCGTCTCGCTGTAATAAGGCCCAGATTTAACGAAATCCGACACACACGCCATCCCCCCTCCCCCAGGAGCTCAATATTTCGGTTTTGCAGACACGAATACAAACTGAGGCAGCATCCTCAAGAAGGAACAGCCAGCTCAAAAGCTTGTCTTTCTTCTAATTATACCATTCGGCTTAATGAAAGATGGGAGCTGCCTACAGTCTGCCTGCGAACCCTGCCTCCAGAGCGGTTTCACACTCACAGGGTGATGATTCCCTGCGAGCATCAAACCCAAACAGCAGCGTGGATCCCCACGAAGAAAGAGGAGGGACAGACCCACGCCAGCCTACTGACCAACAGACTCCGCTCGAAACGAACCCGGCAAATGCGGGGCGAGCAGGGATGAGGATTAAATGCGGCTGTTTTGAAACACCCCGGCAGTTTTTGTCCTGGTTATGAAACAGATGGGTTTAAGGCTGTAGACAAAAGCACTCGCACATACAAATAAAATCACACCACCGGGAAATAAGCGCCGAAGCCCTCAGTTTTAAGCAGGATCATCTTCAAAATAATATGCCGCTATATTGGAAAAGTACCACGATACCAAAACCAGGTGTCTGTTTGAACACCCGCCGCGGATTTATTTTGGAAGCTTGTCAGAAACGGCAGATCTCTCGGCGATACGGGTTAAGATCCAGCACGCACCACCCTGCTGCTTACTAATTATTGTTTTTCAATTAACTGCAATAGCGCTCATGCGACGAGCGAGTCAGGCGAACCACGAGCTCCAAGCTGCTGCCAGCACGGAGAGGTTTCAGTACTGTGATTAATCAGCCACTTCATTGCGCAGAAGGAGCGCAGGACCCTCAGCGCTGCCCCCGGGATGGGCAAATGGGTGCCAGACGGGCAGCCTTTGGCAGTCGCCGCGGCAGGCACGCCTGTGCAGGCCCCTGCCGCACCGGTATTATTTCTGTTTCCTATCTGAACAGGGCCCCATCCCGGGGAGGATGAGGGTTCAAACGCACTTGTCTAATTAGCAAGGTTCATATCTGTATCCTCGCATGAGATGGCAACCCCAGACCAGCCACTGAAAAGCTCTTTGGTCTGACCCTGCACCTCAGGGAAGACAATACTGCTTGAAAGCCAAAGGATATCTCTTTTCCCACTTTACGCCCATTGAACAGGCATGTGCTGCCGTGAAAATGCAGTGGCACAAGCAGGACCCTCAGCCCTATGCAGCCGAGCGCCACCCGCTCGCAGGGGACCCCCCCGGGACCCCAGATCTCCCTCTGGAGCTTCCCCAGTCCTGGCAGTGGGAGTGGGTAGAGAAATACTCACGAGGCGGGCCGGTCTTGTCTCAGATCAATGGTGAAGACTACAGCATCTTCACCTGCTGATAGGAAAGTGCATGGAGAATCCGGTTCTAGGGCCAGCTGGAAGATAAATACTTGGGCATTGGTTCCCTTTTTACCCAACAAAGTGGCAAGATCCCTTTCTCCCAGTAAACAGTCGGCTATTAACAGGAGCCGACGCAGCACCAAGCCCTCTATACCCATGGCCGAGTGCTCACTTCACTGCTTTGCAGGGCACAGAGACCCTCCTCGTCACCCTCAGAGGTGACAGCGATTATAAAGCAGCATTTAAGAATCGGTCCCTCCATGGCAGCGGCTCTGCCTTCACTATTTCTGGCAGCCGGTGAGCCAGGATGGCACCCGGGTGTTTCGGGGGTCCCCAGCTGCCGTCCGCCCCCTCCACGGGCTGGTCTGGGCTCACCTTGTGCGAAGCGCCTTTGTGTTGTGCCACGCGCTTGGTGTTTTTGCAGCACTGGGTGGCGGAGAGCTCGGCCACCCGGACCTGGCCGTCCCGAGCACACATAGCCAGAGTGGAGTCGCCGCTGTTGGGGAGGAACTTGGCCTGGAAAAGAGCAAATGGAGGGGTGGCTTTCAACGCCGGGGCAGGGGCTTGTGTATGCATGGATGGAAACAGGAGAGAAATCGAGAGCAGCACCCCTGCCAGACCCCAACGAGCCCTGGATGCTCAGATCTGCAGGCAGCGACTGCAAAACCTCGGCTTGACGGGCTGAGCTCTCCGAGCAATCGTCCCGGCCCTTTCTGGTGAGTGTGGAGAGCCGGGAACCTGGCGGAGACGCTGGTGGTGCCAGCGTCCCTCTGAGCACAGGCTGTGCCGTGGTGGCAGCACAGCCCAGCCCTCCAGGCCCCAAAAAAACTGCACTGCCCACGCGCTGGGCTGCCCGCCACGGCACGGCCTCCTCCGAACATGGCTCCTGCTCACAGTCGCTCCCAAACCTGCTGCTCACCGGGGCCAGAGGAGCAGCAGGGGGAAGCTCTGCAGGGAACAGGGCCATCTCACCCCACCGCCCCCAGCCAGGGCTCCGTGAGACGGCAGATTTTAGGGCACACCAGTGGGTTTTGATGGTTAGTTACCACCGCACAGCGGCTGGACTCCTCCCGCAGCCCTTAGCTTTAACGACATGTTTCTCCTGCCCCGCACAGCATCGTCCAGCTGAAATTACATGCTTCTAGAACAGGCACCTGCCCACCGTGGGGGATCTTCTATCACCCCCAGCCCTCTGAGGACCCTCCCCGTATGCTCCTCACCTGGAAGACGTTGCTCTTGTGGCCGCTCTCGAACTCCAGCACCGGCTGCCTCCTTCCCCAGTCCCACACCACCACTTTGAGGTCATCGCTGCCGCTGGCCAGCCACGTGCCACGCTGGTTAAAGTGCAGGGTGTTGACGCAGCCCGTGTGGCCCTCCAGGCCGTGCTGGAGGCAGAAGCGTTGCACGAAGACCCTGGCCCCACAGGCCTCGTAAACGAAGCGGGCGCTGGAGCCCAGCTCCCTTTCCCGGAGGGCATGGACCGCCTGCCAGCGGGGCTGGGGCAGCGCCGTGGTCTCCGAGGACACCCAGTCCTCCAGGGCCTGCTCGTCGTCAGAGGAGTCTTGGTCGTGGCTGGCACGCTTGCGCTGGGCACGGCGGTGGGACCGCTGCTCCTCCTCTTCGTCCTCCTCCTCTTCCTCCTCTGAGTGCGACCGGTCAAGGGCACGGTTCTCCTCGTTTATGGAGTAGTGGCCCGTGTCGTCCATGCTGTCAGAGTCCTTCTCTTCCCCCGAGCTCTCCGTGTCCGTGTCCCGGCTCTCCGTGCTGGTGCGGTTGGGCCCCACATCGTCTCCCGTGAGGCTCAGGCTGAGATCGGAGGCCTCCACCTCAATGCCAGAGGAGGTTTCTCGGCCCTCCTCGGCTGACATCTCCTCCGGGCTGCTGGACAAGCTGCCTGCATGGTGCAGACAAGGCCATGAGCCTCCCCAGCAGGAGACCCCAGGCACGGGGAGACCGGTCCCCACTGGCACCCTTACCATTCACTATGTCTGTCTTCCCCTCCATGCTGCTCCCTTTATCCGACATCACGTTTTCCAGAGCGCTCACCCTGTGTGCGAGAGAGAGAGCAGAAGCTGGAGCATCCCTGCCACGGCCAGTCTGCCGAGATGGGGACGTGCTGGCCTGTCCCCATGTCGGTGGAGGTGCACGCACATCCACGGCATCGCGGGCTGGTCTGGAGAGCGCCGCTTTCTAAGGGAAAACGGAATCAGCGGAGGAAGCAGCGCACACGTGGCTACAGGCTCGGTGACCACACTCAACGCACCCAAGCGTGCACGACAACAAAAGCTCATCGGCTATTGCCGAGGGCAGAGCAAACAGTAATGTCCCTTGGCTTCCACCGAGGCACCCGCGGCTGGGTAACAGGGCCGCTCGCCGTCATCCCCTAAACTCCTCTCCAGTTTCTAATTTGCTCAGACACCGTCGACTTAGCAGGGAAGCCGATCTGCGACCTGCCGTGCTGCCTCTCCTCCTGCCCGCGGGATGGCTGCGGCCTTCCGCTGCCTGTGCCCGGACCCTGCTTCACCTCTCACAATAAGATGGGCGCTTCCCGACTGGCAATCCCCAGCCACGCTCAGGGGAAGGAGGAGGTGGTGACTTCAGCTTGGCAGCAATTGCTACAGCAAGGCAGCTGCACAACACACACCCCTGGCTCGGGGCAGGCAGGGAGGCAGGAGCGGGGCTCGGATCGCAGGCAGATGAGGCAAGGTGGCTGGGAAGGCAGCGAGTCACGGTATCGAGAAACTTCTTGGCACCTGCAGACCGTAGGCAGCCAGTTAAAAGCTGCTCAAGAGGTTTTCTTAACCCCAGCGACAGATTTTTAAACACCTTCCCACACACAAAATCCTCCCGGCATCACCGAGGGGCCGTTTTCCTCCACGCCACGGGCAGGACAGCAGCCCCAGACACCTAGCCAGCCCACCCAGCCTCCACCGAGAGCAAGCTTTGGCCTTTGGCACCCCCAACAACTCTGCTCCTCCCGGGGAGTGGGCAAGAGCAGAACCACGCGACAAGGCCAGGAGCTCTCCGGCATTTCCAGTTGCTCCAGGAGAGGTTCACCAATTCCTCACGAGTGCATGGAAAACCAAAGGCAAGCACGTTTTCGGCTCCCGGGCGTTTCCCAGCCCTTGCTTTGGAGAGCCGACTGCAACAGGGAGGGGAGGCATGGGCTGCAGGAACAGTGACGGCCCCGCTGCCTCGGCGGCGGG